ATATTAAATAATAAAGTATTTAAATTTATTCATTTAAAAAGCAAATAAATTTTAAATAATTATAAATATAAAATTCAAAATAATTTATTAATAAATTTTTAATATGAATTAAGATAAAATGCTTACTTTTAATTAGATATAGTTTAACTATATCTATTAATCCTAAATATTATATAAAGATGATAAGCTTCATTCAGGTTTTTTTAATAATAATTCAAAAAAAAATTATAAAAAATATCAAAATAAAATGAAAAGGAATGAAAAAAATTTATAGAGAAAATAGAAAAATGGCAAAAAAGAAATAATAATTTGATAAAAAATTATTTGAAAGAATGATAAAAAGAAAAGAAGTAGTAATAAAAAGATTATTATAGTAGTTATATATAAAGATGATGCTGCAACTAGTTGCAACTATGTAATGCTTATTTATCACTAGTTACAACTAGTTGCAACTCAATTTTTATTAATATTATCACTAATTATAACTATATGATACTTATTTATCACTAGTTACAACTAATTATAATGTCATCTTTAGTTATATATTAAAGTATTATATTTTAGAAAAGGTAGATTAGTTTAAAATAGCAGATAATTGAAAATTGAAAGGAAAAAGATTGGTAGTTGAGGATTTTAAAATATATATATATATTTTTTTATATATAATTAATTAAAATTAAATTAAGATAATATATAAATATCTTATGTTTAAGAATTTGTAGACAAATTTGATTATCTTCTTTTTGCTACTTAAGATATTAAATAACACAATTATCAAATTTAATAATAATTCTTTAATATAAATATCAATTGAAATAGTTTTTATACTAATAAAATCTTTTTCAAAATAGAATTTCAAATTATTTACCAAAAAGTTCTCCTACTTTTATTCACTTTTCTTTTAATTTCCTATTAGTATATTTTTCAAATAACTAAAAAATAAAATTATTAATATATAATAATATTTTATAAAATAATTAATATAAACTCATATTCTTATTTTATTTGTATTTATTTTGTAATCTCTAACTATTCCTTTAAATTTATCCCTAATATAAAATCTAGTAAAATTCATCTCAAAATCCTTTTTGATTTGCATCATAATTTCATTTCAAAAAAACACTTTCAGCTTACTAAACATTTTCCAATAATCCAAGTTTCTTTTTCTTCTTAATTTAATTAAATATTACATTTTTTTATTTGACATTCAATTATATTTAATATTTTGAAATTTTAATATAAGTAATAATTATTTTGTTTTATTCAGATTTTTTTTAGTAGACTAAAGGTATTACATTTAAAATTTAAGATTATTTATATTTTTTTAACCTTTAGAATTATTATATTATGATTTATTTCATACTAGAATTACCTATTTGAAAAGAAAATATATAATTACATTCTTTACAAACAGGTATTCTTAAGTTATTTATATTTTGGTATTTATATAATTTCATAAAGTAAAGGTTTTATATAAGTTATTATGAATCTTATGAATTTGTATCAGATATTGTAGTTAAAGTTTCATCGTTTAATAAATTTTCAGGAGAAGTTAATTCAATTTCATCAATATCAATATTTAAATTAATACAAAGAATAAATGATAAACTTTTATTAAAAGGATCTTCAAAACTCATAGTTGTATAAATGTAAATATAATATATAAAATGTAAATTGACATATTGATCAGATATATGTAATGTTTATAAAGCTAGTTTATTAAAAAATCATTAATTAAAAAGGCATTTATTAAAATTATTTAATTATTTAGTAATATATAGATAATTATTAAAGATGAATTTTGATTAGTTTAGACTTATTTAGGATTAGATTTTTTATCAGTCTGAAAAAAAGATCTGCAGATGAACTTTTATCTTGAGCAGAAAAATAAGTCATAATATCACAAGAATTTCTAACATTATTAAATAAATAGAAAGTTTGATTATTTTTATCATGACAAGTTTAAAATAATTTAATACATAATTGAGTTTGTTTAAAGTAAAGAAGATCTCTTCAATAATGATGTGATCTTCAATTCATTTTTGAAATTGTGAAATAAGTTCGTAATATGAAGAACTTACAGAATTAATAAGAATGAAAAATGAGATATTGGCAAGTAAGTACGAGAAGTTATGTTTTTAATTTGATTATTTAAAAAAAAACAAAAATTTATTTTAAACTGAAATTACTATAAAATTCTTTTAATCTAAAATTTTAATTATTTTTTTTTTATTTTTTGGGTAGAGATTTTCACCATTAATTCTTATAGCAAAATTAAATCTGAAACTTAACAATCTGATAAATTAAGTGAATAAATAGAATTAAAATTCAATTAATTTTTAAAACATTTTCAAAGTATATCATCTGAGAAACGCCAAAATAAAATTTTATTTTCTTGGTCAGACTGGTTGATCATAGAACTGATTTCAGTTTGATTTGAGGATCAAATCGAACTGAAACTGAACTGAGTTGAACCTATTTTTAGACTGATTTTTAGAGTTTGGTATTACTTGCGTAAATAAAATTTTAGATAATAGAAATATCGCAAAAAAAACTTTTTTTTTGGTTTTTATTATAATAAAAATTTTGGATTGGAAATGTTAAAATAATACTTTATGTCACGCAATTTTACAATTTTTTTTTTAATTTCGTCTTTTAAGATTTTATATAATATATATAAAATTCAATCTAAATTTCAGTTTTAATACCAATTTCAAAATCAGTCTACAATTCAATTTTACCCTCAAACAATAAAAATCAGACAAAATTGAACTGGTCAAACTGTCTCTACATTTTCTCAAGCATCACAAATTCTTATCATTATTTACTTTAATATGATCATATATTATTCAATAATTCTTATTAAATGATAATTACTTTACCTGTTTTTAACACTATCTAATAATTGTTCTTGATAACTTTATAACGTGGTTTATTTATCTACTAACTTCTTATTTCTCGATTTGTATATATCAGTACGTGATATATAAAAATATTTATTTACTTCTGTTTCACACCACAATATGTGAAATCCTATTTGTTATGCTTATTTGTCATAGATTAATTTTTAATATTGTAATGCTGACTAAAAAGATACGTACTAGTGATTTTTATTAGTGCAGCTGTGAAGTTAATGTATGACATTGTTATCACATGATAATATAAGTAGATAAGTATTTACTATCTAAAAAATTTTTTTAAAACAAAATTATATTAAAAATGATAATGATTGAAAATTAATATAAATATGTGATAAGTAGGTTAGAGTATGCAGAAAAGCATTTGGAGAAGACGAAGAAGAAATTAGAGAAAAATGAGAAGATATTATTAGAATTGATGAGCAAATTAAACAAAAGAAACTGGAAGAATGAAGAGTAGAAGAAGAACTGGAAAATGCAAAGAGATGAGTTAAAAAAAGAAGAGAACAATTAATAAAGAATGAAGAAATATAGATAGAGTGAATCTTATTTTTCAAAATAAAAGTAAACGAATGTATTGAAGGAAAAGATAAATGACAAATTGCGTAAAAAATATTTATTTTCCATTCATTCTATTTCTTTTATTTATTTATTTCTTTAGTATAATGTTACAATATTAACTGATTTATGCTTTCTTTATTATTATTTTTTATAATAAATTGTAGTTAAATATTTAAAGGAAGAGAAGTTTGGGAATGAAGAGTTATACAATGATTTGAGTTTATCCTCAATAAAGTTTCTCTCTTTTAACTTTTTTCAGTTATTATAATTAACTTATATTTTATATAGATCTAAATCATGCCTTTCAAACTGATTTTAAGGATCATGCTAACTATATGTCTTTTTTAGAGAATTGATTAAGCAATGTATCTGATCTTTTAAAGGAAAATTATTTAGCTATTGTTTAATCATCAGAATATGGAAAAATAAGATCTATATGTGAACTTGCAAAATCACGCTCATTAATATATATATGTTTTCATAATAAAGGTTCAACTAGATATCCTTCAGCAATATCAAAGAGTGATATTATGTTAAAAGAACTTAAAGAAGCTATAAATATTGATATTATAGAAGTAATAATAAGGATATAGCTGAAGTTAATAATAATAATATTTTATCAGATGATATTGGAAAATAAATCTTCAGAATTATTGACTAATATCATAAGATTTTCCATTTTTCTTTATTAATAATATAATTAATATATTGTGTTATATATATTTTTTTAAAATAATAGAAATTATCAAATACTTTTTGGAAATCTGTTTATGCAATAAAAATAACTTTTAAATCCAACAGAAATACTCAAGATTTTGAAAAAGTTGGTATCAAAAAAATAGCAATTTTTTTTGATAAATCTTCTATCCTTCTTGATATAATTTTTTTTATTTGAAATAGAAATATGTTATCTGTTTTTATATTAAAGTTTTATTACTTTTTATAGATAATAAAATAAACTAATATTATAAAGAGAATCAAGATAACAAACCTTTTCAAGCAATCTGTTAAGCTTTATATTTCTTTTCAAAAGAAGTTTATGATATTATTAATGATACTAATTTATCTATTGCTAATCTTACACTATTAAAAGATAAAGACAATTCAGTTAGTGTATACAATATAGTGTTTTATGACGAAATGACAGATTTTGCAAATTATTGAATTTAAAATTTTTAATTTCTGGTTTTATAAGCAAGAATATTAGACTGAAATATTTATAAACTATTCATTTACATAGTGATACAAGATTGCTTAAGATATGATTTTTAATTGTCATGTTTATATGTATTATCTATTTGCTTTTGATAAATCTTTTTTTTAAAATTTTGATTTATTTAGTAGCATAGATAAGATTCCACTTATTAAAGATAATTCAGCATATAATATTGTTCAGTTTGGTAGACCTCTTTGGATATCTAATTAGATATCTAGTCAATATTTAGATAATTATTTTAATTCTATAATGTAATTGATCTTACAAAAGCCAAACTGTTTGGAGAAGGTATTTTTAAATGAGAAATGTGTAAATATGATAGTCAACGAAAAAGAGCTGCTGCTCTTACATTAGTTACATATACTGCTGTTTTATATATCTCACCAACATCAAATATTATATCAGAACTTATTAGATTATATATGGCTACTTTGATTGCAATTGATAAAGATTATGAAAATCATATTATTATATATCCTTCTGAATCTGTATTTTCAGAAGCTTCATTAGAATTAATATCAGAAGGAAATGTTTTGAAAGAGATTCTTCAAGAATTAGATCTCACTTTACAATTAAGTGGTATTCTTTATGCTAGCAGTTAAGGTAAAATTGCTGTAAAATTATTATCATTGAATACTTAGTGTTATCTAGTTCTCTCAAAAAAGTCAAATAACTCTAAGATATATATCAGCTTCATATTTTGATTTATTTTATCATATTCTTATTTTTACTATTATATATATAGGTAGTATTTTCTTCTTAATTTTCAGTTATTAACTTTTTTCATGAACTTTTTGGTGGGAATTTTCAAAAGAAAACTTTTTCCATCTCAATAATTTTGTATTAGGATTTAAATATTTTATTTCAGTTACATATATACTAAATAAAGAAGATCTGATTTCAATCTATAAATGATGTGATGCTATATTATGTAAAAGAAACCAAAAAGGAATAGATTTAATAATTCCAATTATGTGTAAAAATGAAAGTATAAAAATAGGTACAATATTAATTCAGGTATAAATTTAAATATTATTCTTTGTATTTATTCTACTTATACATAATTAACATGATAATATTATTTATAGATTAAGAATTATGCATATAAAGATAGTAAAATAAAATATGAACTTGAATTTCCACTTTTACCATATGATATTTTTGAAGATAATTTAGCCAATGAGTTAAAAGATAACAATTTAGGTTTATTATTACATGTTGGTAAGAATATCTTTTTTTTATTTAAATTTTTATAGATTATTTTATTAAATAATTATTTTTATTTTCCTTGTAGGTTCAGCATATATTAATAAATCTTCATTAGAGATATATTATTATGATGAAAAACATAAAAACTTAATAATAATTCATTATATAACCTTCGTAAAAAATCTAATTACATAAATAATCAATTCAAATATTATCGACTTATGGCTTGTGGTCTAGATTCTTTTAACATTACTACAGAATATAAAAAAAAAATTTCAAAGTCTCTTATGTTCATGGATTGATCCAATCCGATTTGTTAAAGAAGAAGATAATGTAGAAAATTTTTTATATCAAATGATGCCTTATACATATTCTAGAAAAAAAATAATTTTTAGATTATTAATATTCATTTATATTATATTTTATGATAATAATAAGAAGTGTTATAAGAAAAATAAAGAAAAATAATATTTTAGCCAATAAAGATAAAAGTGTGACTTAATACCAGTTTATGAAAACGAAAAAATGCTTTTGATTAGCAACTTGAAAGTATCAACACAACATAACGTTAATATGGACAAAGAAAATTACACATGTAGTTATGAGCATAAGAAATGTACTAGAAATTTTAATTTAACTTTTACATACACTTAAAAAAGAAATAAAATTGACGCGAAATTACTGCAGCGACGGGCTAATATTAGCGTTACATAACAAAAATATAACGAATCTCATAAAAACGAATATTTTTATAGGGTTATACTATTACCGCGGATCGAATGACAATATTAGTACGGATCCTGATGCATATTTCAAATATATTCAGGCTACTGTAAGGACTTTTCAAATCTAAGAGGAAAGGATTTGCCGGGAAAGCAACTATTACGATCCGAAAAAGTCACAAACCTTTTAAAATTTCGAGTAAACTTTTCGATGATTACATCTTTGTAAATAATCTATATATTAATCTAATTTAAATCTATTAGGAAGCTAAGCTCGCAAGACCTGCTTCCCTGACTTTTGTTTGCGATCGATATGAATTTATTCATGATTTTATTTGATCTTTACCCACAAATCTTGTTAAATATATCAAAGTGTACATTCAGAAGGTTAAACGATGATCAAATCTACTTTTGTCTTTTACCGGCCCAGTCAATTGGTTGAAAAAGTTGAAAACCGCAACCGACGCAAATTAATTTAGCGTGGTTGAGATTACGTGTACAAGATGATATAGTCAGGATCCAGCTATATATAGTATAAATGAACATTTTAATATAACGAAGACTTTTGCGAAATGAATTTTTACTATAAAGGATAATCTGACATGAAAAAATTTTCACACGTTATCTAAATTTTTTAAAATAAAATTAACCATGAATAGATGTTCGTCATGTTTCGTGATTTTATACATTTCCTTATACGAACATGCCGAAAGTAAACCCTAAAACAACTTAATGAAGCCCGCTTTTATTCGATCGTCTATCATTCAATAATCCTTATTAAATGATAATTACTTTTACCCGTTCTTAACACACAAACCATTCCATCTAATAAATCGTTCTCAATAACTTTACGATGAGGTTCATTGATCCTCTGATTATTTAAATAAAGTCCACCAACTTTTATCAGTTTGTTCGCCTCATTTCTTGATTTGCATATACCTGTCGTAACAACGACACGATCAATGGTGCAATTTAAAATTTCATTACGATAAACTGAAGTTAGTCTTTGTGAATCATGTAAGAAAGCTTCAATTAATTCATGTCCTCGTATATTTTCCAACGGTCCTCCAAATAATACTTTGGTAGCCAATTGTGCTCTTTGGAGTCCAGCAACTAGTATAATTTTTAAGAAATAATTACTCATTTGAACCAAAGATAGGATAATAAAGATAACTATCATACCTCCATGCACAAGTTCTGTTATCTCAGAAGCTAACTTTTCTTGACCGTGATGTTTCTCCGGAGATTCCTAATAATTAATTAATTAATTAATTATCACCGGATGTCACATGATCTTACAAAACGTATTTAAACGCCTTATCGAATTACCATATGAATTTTCGCAATTTCATCGATCTCTTCTACACTCAATATAGTAAACATGCGAAGATACTTTGCAACATCAGCATCAGCCACTTTCATAAAATACTAATAAGAAATGAAACGAACATATTTAGTTCCACATCACATTTCGACATTTCTTTTTTAACTCTTGTAAAATAACTACCTGATAAAATTCATATGCACTAGTCATTTTGTCATCCAACCAAATGGCATTTCCTGCGGATTTACCAAATTTTTCTCCGGTTGATGTTAATAACAAAGGTATAGTAATGCCAAAGGCGGTAGTATAATCGCTTGAAGCTAAATCCGGTCTCTTTTTGTGAATCAAGTCAATTCCTGCCGTAATATTTCCCCATTGATCACTTCCTCCTAACTTGCACGGATCAAAAATGATTCATTAATAAAAAAAAGAAAAATGATAAAAATTTTTTGTTTTTTTCCTTTCGGATCGACTCACTTGAATTCGACATTGATGATAATGATATAGATGCCAAAAATCATATGCTTGTAATAATTGATACGAAAATTCCGTAAAACTTATTCCTCCTGTATTCTCCATTCTTGATTTCACACTTTTGAAAAGGTCTGAATGAGATTCGTTAGGTTCTTTAACTTTACACGAGATATATAAGATATTGCCTCACCTGTCTCTCATGAGCATCGTTCCAACACGCGCATACCTTCCGATATCATTCAATAGTTCCAGGGCAGACATTTTCCGAAACCATTCCAAGTTATTCAAGATAATCACATTATCCGGTTCATCGCCCATTTTAAATCCGCGTCGCGATGCGTACCTTTTACCGTTAATAAAAATTTGTCGAATTTGATTATCGATCGCAGCAGAATTATCTTCGATCGTCGAGAATGATAGAGGTTGACGTTCGGTCTTGCGACCAGATGGGTCGCCTATTGATCCGGTCGCGCCTCCGATCTAATTCATAGTGTTAATATATCATCAATTATTTTTTCTCCTTCCAAATAACCATTTTATAAGACCTTAGACGGACCAAAGCGATTGTCCGATGTCCATGAATATGAAAATGTAATAGTCCAATTAGTGTTAACAAATTTCCTAGATGCAGACTTGGCGCAGTAGGATCTACGCCACAATATATCGTTGATCGATTTTTCACTTGGTTGATGATATCGGGACTAATGCAAAATTTTTTTTTTTTTTTTTTGGGAAAATGAAAGCGAGCCGTTCAATGAAATATTAATAAACCCATTTTCGATCATGAAACGACCCCAAACATAAAAAAAGTCATTCACGAAGAAGGAAATACGAAACCTTGTCAACGCATTAACCAGGTCTCGTTTTTTCAATTCTTCAACTACATTTGTATTTTTCTGGGTAAAGTATCGAATCGACGTATTGTAATGAAACCATGATAAAATATTTCTTGACACATGAGGAAATGTATTGATTTTGATACTTTGAAATATTCTTTTGGATTTGATCATAATGTAATTTATATTTTCATTTATTTCTGGATCTTATTTAATGCAATTGGCTAGAAAAAAATATTTGGACCAAATGGAAAATAAAAATTTTTTTTGTAATGAGAATCAGATGATCAATTTGACTTACATCATACATTAATCAATTTAATTGTATTTGTTTTTTTTTCGTAGACAGAAGAAATTATGATTTTAAAATGCGAGGACATTGGCATTTCCAAGGTTGCCTAAATGTGTGGATTGGGAAGGATGATTTGATCAATCTTTTTTTTTCTGGATGTGATGCAATTGATATATAATTTCGTTTCCAATGATGGGAGGTTCTAATTTGAGCTTTGCATATATCTATTTCTGAGCGTTCAGAGGGTTATAGAATTAAGCGAAACTACGATTTTCAACAGGGCAATTTAGACGACACCACAAGATCGACGCGTCCTCCCGATTTTCCATCAATCTTCAAACGATGTGTTAGAAAACGACAAACAGAGCGTCTAATATTCCTCATGAAATGCATGAGAGCAATATATTTAGTCATTTTGGGCAGACATATCGCGTAAGTTGTACCGCTCCAATCAGACAATGAGCGCAACATCATGAGCTCTAAACTACAAAAAGTGGTTTGTTTTGGAGAACTGATTTATTCGTCAACCTCTGATTCATGTTTTGAACTTCATACTCTCTTAGCAGCGTTCTTTTCCAAAATTCAGTATTATTCGTAATATTATTTACACAATGATTATCTATTTTTCTATTTGTAATAATAAGATTAGAATGAGTAATTGCCATAATCTAATAAAAAATAAAAATAAAAAATTAGTACAATTTACAAAAATATTTCAATTATTATTTACTCTTATGTTATTATAAAGTGATAAAATAATTTTTAATGCTTTAGAAAGGTTGTTTAATTTGTAATATAAGAATATTGAGATATTTTACCAGTAAGTTATTTATTCTTTTATTTTAATAATAATTTATTTATATTTCTTTCTTGTAATTTTTTATAATACTTTTTTTTAGTAAAGTCACATAATATAAAATTTTACAAATTCTTGACTTTATAATATTAATGTTAATATATTTATAAGAATTTTTATATAAAAACATTTTATTATATAAGCTAAAATTTTTGAATGGATTATAATTCAATAGATATAATAATAATTACATTTTGCATTTAAATTTCATAGACCTAAATATTATTATAATAATTTATATCATTGAAAAAATTCTAATAAAGATTTAAAGAAATAAAAGAGATTTGATCAGAAAAAGAAAATATTTATAAAGAATAAGATATATACCTTATTAAAGTTTTATATATTACTGATCTTTTTTTTTCTATATTTGATATATATTAATCAAAAAGGAATACTTAGATGATATAAAATCATAATCTAGGATTATCAAAATTTGTATAATCATCTTATGATATATTATTAATAATACTTAGCTTAAATATTATTGAATAAAAAAAAACTTAAATTAATAAATAAATTTATATACTATATAAATAAAATTAAAGTTATAAAAAATATAATGAAATTTTTAATGTATTCTAATAATCTTTTAAATTATTGATAAGTAAATGAATTATAATTAACTCTTGTTATAATGAACCCTACGTCTTAGATCTCAACTTTATTATAAGGTTATAATGAAAAATTTAAGAGATTTGATTGATCAATTTGATATAACAAGAGTATTTTTATTATATTTATTCAAAAATTCGTTATATCAAGAATTCGTTATATTAAAAATTGATTATAATTCAAAAAAACTAATAAAATTATTAATCTTTTGCTTAAAAATAAACTTTATTAAATATTTAATAAAAAAAATATAAATATAAATATTTTAGATGAAGAACATTTTATAATAAGTATAATGATCTAATTTTATTGAATATTATTTTAAAAAGCTAAAGTATGTTTCTTAAATCATTATATTAGATAATTGTAAATAGTCCAAAATTATATTATATGTTATCATATTTTGAATTATAAAATCTGATAAAATTTTAAAAATAAATTCATTTTTTTAAAAAGAGATATAATAATTGTATTTAAAGATCTATAAACTGATTTAAAAGATATAAGAAAAAATTATTAATTTTTATTGAAGGTTATAAATAGAATTATATGTTTATAAGTTAATAATTAGTGTAATATAATTAAGATAATTGATAAATATTTATATGAATAAAAATTTATTGTTTTGATTTGACTGTAATTTGTAAATATCAACACAAAATGCAAGTTTATTAGAATCAAATTTTGAAAAAGGTATTATGATTAAATATGATATTTATATATTATTATTATAATGTAATCATACTGCATTGATTTATCAAAAATAAGTAGGTTTTATAAAATATTATTCATAGTTTTTGCTGATCACTTTTTGTCATAATCACGTGATAATAAGACAGTAATATTACATCTGATTAACCTGAATGACTAAGTGGTTTATTTTATTAATAATTACCGGAACAATACCGCGACATCAGAAAATTGTTAACTCTGATCACTTATACCAAGAAAAATTCACGTGATTAGACGAATATGTTCGCTAAAATTTGCTAAGAAAAAAATTTATTAATATGTTGTAGATAATGGCATGCTAGACCCTGATCTTTCATTTTCCACTATATTAGATAAATGATTAATTCTATCTTTAATCTGAACAAGTTTTTGAACACTCATTCCAAATAATATTTCACTTTCAAAGAACTTGGATATCTAGAGTTTTTCAAAAGCTATGATATGCTCTCTTGACTAGGTTCTCTGGAAGCTTACCAGTAATATGTTTATAGTTAGAGTGAAACATTTCAGTTATTAATTATAGTATGTATGCAAAAGTTTGCACACAAAACTATGGACTATGTATAAGCCTTTTCAGGCAAACTTTATTTCCGTATATAATAATATATTAAATACAATGCAATAGACATTTACGATTGCAAATTCTATCACTATGTAGAGCTATTGGCGGAGGAATTATTGGTGATGGTGAAGGAAAAGACATTCCCTGTGATGATGGTATTAATTATAGTTGTGGTCACCATCATCACCTAATACCTTTGCGATGATCGTCAGGATCAATACTATTTTAAAAAATTGTTAGTTTTAAATTGTTGAAATTACAATTTTGCTAATTTAATAAACTTACTTTTTGGGTAATTCTAATGTTAGTTTGATTTCATCCTCTGAAAAATAAATTCCCTCTTCAAACATGATGGTTGAGGCGCCTATGAGCAAAAAAAGTTAGATATCATAGCTTGATTATTTTCAATCTTAAGAGCATTTAGGCCATACTTACGGGTTTGTTTCTGCGAATCTTTTTGGTGAGGACTCCACATTATAAATCACCCGCTCTCGATTCTGAAGTTTTATTTTATGAGATTGAGGGATACCAGAAGGTATCGAGTGTGGAACTTGCGGAGTCTGTAGGATAAGGATCTTCTTTTGTGAAATTATATTTATGATGATCGGAAAAGGTACATTCATTTCAGTGGGACCACGGCAGGTACATTAGAAGAGCAATTATCATTATTAATATTATTACTAATATTTTCCAGAGTCCATTCATCACACATATTATCACATGTTTTGCTCTTTAATGACAGATTCCGTTCCACAAATGGTCTTCCGTCGACTTTTTGATCAATTAGTTCATCGGTATGCAAATAACTCGAGATGTGATTATGGTAAATAATGCCCAAATGAATTTTTAATATGCCCAATGAAAAAGTGTGATTCTCTTCCTCCTTCTGTGAATTCTTCGCTGAGAGCTTGACACTGCCTGTAGGATCACTGAAAGAACCGCCATTATCTTCATCTATATCCATCTCATCCAAATGATGATCAAAATGACCACCAATATATCACCGATATTCACTGGATTGGATGTTGATAGTTATAAACAAAAGAATATTGAACGAATGAATCGAAAAAGTGGCATTGAATTTTATAGTAGTTGGAAGTCGAGATCTCCACTAAAATCAGGCGTTAAGGCGGGGCTGGTACCGCTTCTCTCTTTATCCCATTCATCACGGATCAGTCCTTATAGTTTTTATATCTGAAAGGGTGAAAATAATACGTTCCCTTTCAGCTTCACATTCTGAAAGCTCCCATCTCTAAAATGATAGATGCTATTTAGGCAACTTCTGGATTTGCGAATCTGGTAAGATTAAAAAACATAACATACCTTCTTACACTCCTGAATTATCCCACACCAATATCTTTCATTCTTTAGCAAAAAGTGAATGTTCTGACTTGACCTGTTATAAACATAGACATTAATTGTGTATGAATTTTATTTAGTAATAAAAGGAGGCACATAACTAATTCTTATTCTTATTAGTAGACCTTTATAACTAGGAGTTACTCTCTTTGCAAAATAAAATATGCACTTTTCTTTCAAAGAATCGAAAGTGATTTGGCTTAACTCTCAGTTAAAAACAGCGATTCCATGTGGAGTCAAGGTCTACCGAAATGCCATTGATTCTGAAACAATTATTTCTCAGTGGCGGAGAAAAAACCCAAAGCGACTTATTTTTATGTTGCTTCAAGTTCTAGAGCCCTTTGATCTGCTGGTGGAACAACAATTCAAAATATAGGGATATTAGAGAATATCATTGTTTTTTTTTTTTTTTTTGACTTTTAACGATGTGGTACTGCCACGAGTTTTATTAAAAAGATTTATAAAGTTTAAATGCACTAATTAACAGAAGAATACAAATAAAAAATCTAAACTAAAACCGCAGCTACTCCGTTTGAGTCGACCAATCACCGGCGATCCCCTCCAGACACCATTTCTAATGGGCAATCCTTCAACGAAAGAAGGCTAAGAGAAATTTCATTGTTACTAACCAAATTCGTACATGTAACCAATTATAATTTTCTGACAGATGAAAGTTGAAATAAACAGAAGCTGCTAATGTTTCTAATGGCTGATGTTTCTAATGAAATTGTTTTTAGATGTAAAATAGAGGCTGATAATTTTTAAAACATTTTCGAAAGGTAAGAATTGAATAACCCTTATAGAAGGCATTGCAAATATTTTGAATGTTTATCACAATGTGATCTTAATAGATAATTAAGTAAAAGATAAAAATTTTTTCGAATTACCGCAATTATTAATATATAATTCTACTAAATGAATTATAAAAAAAAAAAAAAATTTTCAATCAAATAAATCAATAAAAGTTATTATACCTTTTAAGCATGCGATTCATTTTCTTGAAAGTATACAATTATTTTGACCAACCTCATTTTAAAGAAAATGAGATGACTTTAATTACACTATTAAATCGCTAACGTTAAAGGGATGACCATCAATCTATAAAATGTCAAATTTTTCCAACTTGACAAAAAACAAAAACAAAAAAATTTTTTTTTTCACTTTTTTTTCATTTTTTCATTTTTTTTTTAAAACTATATCTCTTATGGAACATAATCAGTATGCTAGAAATCCGACATTTGATCATCCAATCTATTGTATTATCACAACGATGGGAATGATAGATTCCGCACACATCACATCAAAAGAAAATCATTCTTCTCGTAAAGTCAAGAGCGACCTTTTATTGCCGGTAGTAATCCCCACCTTAAAGACTATTCATTGGATTACAAAGTATTTGTAAAATCAATTGTACAATCACAAAAATATGAACGAGAACCATGCACGAACAACTCACCGTCATCAGATAGGTCGATATCCGTTCCTTCTCACCACGTTCTTCCCACCTCCATTCTTATGTAACGGATCACCTTATTTATGTCCAAGACCATATGATGAATACCTTTATGATTTACCAATATATTAAGTTCCCATATGATGCGAAATATCGATATAAATGCACGATATTTTTTATTCAAAGAGTATCGTTCACTAATTGCTCATTTAAGAATTCACCATAGGCATCACGTAGAGTTACAAACGAAATGTCAAACTTGCTACGTATCAAGGTGATATTTGAAAAAACATCAAAACCTATGTCACATAATCTTTAAACAAGAAGGATTGCTTAATTGTGAAATTTTTATTCAACGGGTTGAATGTAAAAAGCACTATGTTAACGATCATCCCGACAAACTTCAAGAATTATGGGAACAACAATGGATTTCTAATGACGTTAATATTGGAAGAGCATTGTTAAAAGTAATTGATATTATACATAGAATGTAAAAAATAGAATGATTGCTGTAATACAGTAGCGGTCATAAGTATCCGACCGCCCGAGATCGTCCAAAATTATTATATAACTACCCCTTAAATTTTCC